CATATATATGTTATATATTAATATATGTTTAATTTTTCAGGTAACATGACATGTGATCATGTCACTGGTGAATATATTTGTCGACCTGGATACTTAGGTTTAACTTGTGAACATCCTTGTCCACCTAATCGTTATGGATTAAATTGTGCTAATCATTGCCATTGTAAAAATGGTGGTGAATGTCATCATGTGACAGGTAAAATTTCTTTATAATTTACTTTTATAATTTATTTGAAAAAAATATTTTATTATAAAATAAATAATAGAAATTAATAAATTTTTTAGTTTTAATAATTTTTATGAACTATCTATATTTTATTTTAAATTTAAATCAGTATTAATTTTTTGATTAAATTTAAATCAGTTTAATTTTCACGTATTTTTTTCTATAATCTTTTCATTGATTTTTTAAATAATTTCTTTTTGAAATATTATAAATATAATTAATCTCATTAATTTTAAATAAGTTAGTGTTTCTTGTCTTATATCTAATATCATTTTAGGGGTATGTCAATGTCGACCTGGTTGGCAAGGCGAATTTTGTCAAACACCTTGTATGGAAGGAACATATGGCATGAATTGCAGTCAACATTGTACATGTCAACATGGAGGAAAATGCAGATCTAATGATGGTCATTGTCGATGTGCACCTGGTTGGACTGGAACTAAATGCACTGAAAGTATGTGAAAAAAATAAAATCTTAATTATATCAAAGAAAAATTAATAAAAAAATATTATAAATTTTTCATCTTTGAAAATTTAGTTTGTCCAGAAGGATATTATGGTGATCATTGTATGGAACCTTGCGATTGTAAGAACGATTTTTATATATGTCATCCTGCTGATGGATGTATTTGTAGACATGGATATACAGGTATATTTTAAATCTATCAATTCTAGAATATCTTGATTAATAATGAACTATTTTTTTTTAGGTCTAAATTGTAACGAAGAATTATTTTCGCGTAATATACAAGAAAAAGATGACTCGAGTTATGGTAGTATAATAGCAGGATTTTTCTTTGCTGCATTTGTTGTTATTGCAATGGTATTAGCTGGATGGATATATCATCGTCGCAGAGTAGCAGATTTAAAGAATGAAATTGCACAAGTGCAATATACTGCTGAACCTCCTTCTCCTCCAGGTATATATATATATAAATTTGTTTATTTATTATTTAGAAATGTTTTTTTATAATTATCACTTATATATTTTGTTTAGAACAAACTCAATTCGATAATCCTGTGTATGCATATCAAGGTTCTTCGAAATTTGATGATGGAACAACTACTTTATTAAATAATTTCCAATTTAGAAATAATCTTGGAACAAGTAAAAAGATAAATAATGAAAAAGTTAGACTTGGAATGAATAGTTGTACAGATGATGAAGATGATTGCAAAGGTATTATTGTAAATAGTAAACTCATCAAATTATATTTTTGGGAAATATTTATGTTTTATTTAATTATTTTTGATTTAGGATCATATAATCGATACGATTTGAAAAACAGAGATGCAGATATGGGAAATCCAAATCTTAATGTGTATCATAGTATTGATGAAATGGACGGGAAAAAAGTTGAACATGTTTATGATGAAATTAAACAAAATAATGATGAATCAGAATATGATCAATTAGATAATCCAAGACCAATTAGCAATTACAAACAATTCAACTTAATGCCGAATGGTTTCTGTTCAAACTCATCAGACAATGCAGGACCTAGCAATTTCAAAGATAAAGATCCAGAACTTGGTAAAATGTAAATTTTTTTTAAAATACGAACTCAGGTTAAATTATGGAATTTAAATTTTAGATATAATATATATATATCTATAATTTATATGATATATATATAACTTAAAAAAACAAATTTTAAATGTTATATCATAATCCTTTTAAATAATTAATCTCATTTCTTCATATCAAATTCAAATTTTCATGTATTAATTTAAACTTTGAAGAAATTTTAAATAATTACTCTCGTTTTTTATCAAAATCAAATTTTTATGTGTTAATCTGAGCTTTGAAAAAATGTTTAAAAAATTTTAAAATAATATCATAAGATAAATGAAACAAAAATACAAATGTATTCCAATTGCTCAGTATATATGCATGTACATAGTTAAATAATAATATAATGAATAGTTAGATGGATATTATATTTATAAAATTATATACTCATAATTGTTATTCTAAATGTGTTGGACTGTTTTTTTTCATAATATGATATATATGTATTTAGTAAATACAATAGAATATTTGATACAATATAATCGATAAATAATCTATTTAAAATAAGTAGTTATATCACAATTGATCTTTAAAAATTTATTTAAAAAATGATTGTATTTTATTAATATTCATAACAGATAAAAAATTGTATCTTAATTTAGATAGATAAAAAAGTATAACGGTATATTAAAATTATGCAAAAAATTTTGTGATATTTAAAAAAATGATATAAAAACAATTTTTTTTTATTTGAAATAACAAATTTTAACAGAATAAATAAGATATAATCAATGATTTTTACGAAAGTGCCTTGTAAATTTGGAAGTGTTATACATTATAAAATTTAATCATATTTATTTTTTTATCTTTATATATGAAAAAAAATTGAAGGTTATAATAATGGAATTAAGAATATTTATCACTATATCTAAAATCTTATTAAATAAGATCATTTATTATATAAATTGGCAAACAAGGTACAAAATCGTTATGTAAGTCTGTGTAAGCAATAAGAGACCGAATCTAACGATCTCAAAATGTGCAAATGATATATGTATGTATATTCAAATGGTATATTAGATAAAAGATTTATTTTTCTTCTTTTTTATATATTTTTTTTTTCATATTTTAAGTCAAGATATCATTAAAAAACGCACATCAATAAAATAATTTTTATTTTAAAAACAATTTATTTCGTATATATGCAAAAATATTTATAAGTAATTTACAGAGATAAAAATATCATACTTATTTTATGATTAGCATAGAATATCATATCATATATTAAAAGATTTATATTTTATTCGTGTATACATATATATTTATGTTTATATTATATATATATGTGTACATATATACTTATATATATATATATATATAAACATAAATATATATATATATATATATATATATACAAATAATATAAAATCAATCTATAAAAAAAAATCATTTGAGATACTATCATAAAACGAGATCGTATTTATTATTTTATATTATTATAGATAATGTCTAATTTAATGCCTATTTTTTATTTTTTAAGAAATATCTATTTTTACGATTTTATATATATTACACTATCTTTAATTTTAAAAGAATTCAGAAAGAAACAAATTATTGTGATTAATATAAATACTTTTGTAAATATCGTTAAATTAGGATAAAATTACAATAATTTTTAAATATCTATGTATATTAATTTTACATCATATCTCGTCTTCGTTAACTCTAATTTTATGAGATCTATAACGAGTAGCTTTAATTAAATTCAAAATAGGCGACGAGATCCAATAGAGTCCACCGAGAAATTGTAATAGCGCAACAAGACTCAAACAAAAAATTGTATCTGTAATCAAAAATTCTATATGACTTGTTTATAACTTTTAATTTCTTTTCTTAATTCGTTTACATTTGTAATTTTTAATTTGATTTTTTATCGAAATAAAATTTTGTTATAAGAACTTACTATGTATAAAGCAAAAACCAAGAATGCATAAACCTACAATGGTTGAAAATCCTTTGTAACTGGAACGTATCATTTCAATACTAAGAATATCATACAAAGATGAATCCTGACAACTTGATAAACTACCAATACTAATACCACCAAGAAATGTAA